ATCAATGGCACACGGCCTGGCTGACTAGCACTTCCGGTCTTATGAAGAAGTAAAAAATTGGATCAATTCGTTAATAGCCTCAAAAGATGACCAGTTTTTTCGACGCGGGATTCGTACGCTACCCGAAAGATGGGAGAAAGTAGTGGCCAGCGATGGACAATACTTTGAATCATAAATGTATAACCAGTTTTTTACAATAAAGCCTCGAATTTCGGAAAAAAATGGCGGAAACAAAGTTGTACACCTAATAGAATTCTGGATGTGATAAAACACTCTATCAATCAAATTCAAAATTATGTCCTTCTTTTGTGAAATCGGATACTAAGATCAATAATTCAAAAATCTTTCCGAGAAAGGATTTTTTATCAAGATTTCTCCGTTTTTTTTTTAATGATAGGATTTCTTCCCCATTAACTATAAAAAATAAATTTTTTAATCTATCTTTGGTCTATATTCTATCTTTGGTCTATATTCAACATCCAATACTTTTTATAAGACATGTCTTTACACATGCCTTTTAGGCGATAATTGAATATTTTTTATTAGTGGGGGAAGGACAAAATTTATGAAGAATATAGAAAATAATATTAGAAAATAATAAACTACAGAGTTCTTTTCATAATAATGTGAGAAATCATTCATTAATTCATTAATATTTTATTAGAAAATGACTATCCGTTGAAATTTATTTTTAAAACTTTGAATGACAAGATAAAAAATTAATTAAAATATCCAATTGTATGTATAAGATCTTTACCAATATAGGCAAAGAAGAATATATCAGATGGTTCACAATACTTTAATGGAATTTTTAACAAGTTTGGCAAATTTATCAATGGTATGTGTTATAGGGTTGCTCATTATAGTATTAATAAATTAAACAAATTCATTAGAATTCACAAGTATCCTTCGCCAAAAAAAATGTGGTTTACCAGATCGAATGTCGTGATTGCGTTGCTATCTACGTAGGACAAATAGGAAGAAAATTAAAAACGAGATTAGCAGAACATCATCAACCATATACAGCAATACATAGAGTTACATCTCGTTTAGTTATCACAAATCGTAGGAGTTGCAATTATGACTTTGATTGGGATAATGTGAGAATTCTGAATTCTGAGAGAAATTATAATAAGCGAATATAATGTCAGAGATGCTCTATATAAATCATCAATTCAATGGTCTTAACACGTAAACTAACACTGAGGGATTAAATCATGGACATATAGAAATTCTTAACAAATCATAATATGTTTATTTTTATCATTGACCGATATGCTTTGTTTGTGCGACACATCTCTTTTTGTATTCAACGAGTATTATGTGACTAACTAACATCAGAATGAACATGACTCTCTTTTATGTTACTTAAATTATCGTGATTTTTTTAATTTGTTGTAATGGATTGATGATATTTGGATCATGCGGTCGTTGTTGGTGAGTTTCTGCCAGCATACATAAATTACGCATATTAATTATTCATCTATTCAAAAATATCTTATTGCAATTATTAACTTGAGTTCCACTATCTGCTCCACTCAGCTAACTGGTTGGCACAATATTAGATTATGTTAAAGATGATTGTCTCTCAACATTTCTACTGCAACTGCATTATTGGAGATCGGAACTACGATTATGCGAAACGCAGTTCAATAGATTTTATAGTGCGATAAGCGCTAATTTTTTACTGAGGATGACTCAACTAATGAGCCGAAAATGAATTTTTTTTACAAAATTGAATTTGTGGCATATTAATAGATATTAGTTAGTACTGCGCAATTTAATTGTTAAAATTTTTTTTTTATTTAGAAAAATTTTCATGTTCTATTTAATTCGTGAGTTTATTTATGTTCTTGTGGATATGAGCTAAAATGATACTGTGCGTTTACAATAGTCAATATCTGTACTTTATTGCACATTCTTTTTAAGGTTTTACTTGCACGCGTTTATGTTTTTCATTATTGATGCGTATCTATCGAAAAATCAATTAAGTTCATTCATGTATTTTTTGTCTTTGCAATCAGAAATAAAAACAGATTCTGAAGTATCTCGTGTTCCTGTCTGATTTTTCTTCCTTCCTCATTTGGCGGATTGTACAAAATTTAGTTTAATTTTAACAGGTTATGGACCCAGATCACGCGATATAAATGACGAGGAAAAATATACATTGTACGAACTCAGTTTTTTTTCGGTAGAGAAAACAACAATTAAGTATGAGTGCATCGATAGAACTCAAGCATATAACCAAGTTCGACGGGATGAATTTCTTGGCATAGAAATTCCAGAGGAGGACAATCTTTGTAACGACATACTGGACATAGTAGAAGGATCTGAAACAAAGCCGGAAGAATACAACACAGAAGAAAGCATGAGCATGATTCAGAGAGAAAATGCAAAAGCAATGTTTATCCTTTCATCATCGATGGAAACGACGTAGCTTGACTACTTTTTCATGTGCGAATCATCGGCAGAGATGTGGCGAAAACTGTATTCAATTCATGAACAGCAAAGTGAGTCCAACAAGCTATTACTTATGACAAAATTCCACGAGTACAAGATGGTCACAGGCGATTCAATTACGCAACATAGCGAGAGTAGAAAATATGGCGCGTCAATTAAGAGATCTAGGAGAGACACTCTCCGACGTCACGTCGGATAATAGCAAAGATTTTAAGTAGCCTGCCATTGAGATTTAATGCACACTGGTCACAGCATAGGATAATGTAAACTCTGAGAAGCAAACATTAGGATTAACATCACGATTTATTAAAGAAGAGATCAGGATGACAGCAATCGAAGAATCAACAGTGCAGTCACAAATAAAAGAGGACACATCGAATTCTTCAAGTAAGTCCGTTCAGGACAATCGGCGTTTCCTAGAATGTTTTTATTGCTAAAGAGACATATGACTAGAAATTGTAGAAAAAAGGAAAGAGATTTGAAAAAAAAAACAATCTCAAAAGATACAGAAAGACGAACATACAAACGTCAACGCTTTTATTGCAATTCACTTATGAACGTGTCTAATCTGAGCGAATTCTGCGTGGTATTCGAATAGCGGAGCATCCAAGCATATAACTTTTCAGAAGAAATATTTTCAAAATTTAATTGAAACCAGCAACGAATATGTATCTCTTGATGACGGTGCCCTGTGCGAGATAAAAGACCATGAGACCGTACTCGTCAAAATGAATGAGTGGAACATGGCATCATGACAAATTGAAAGACGTTCTATACGTGCCTTCGCTTAATAAAAATTTATTTTCAGTAGGAACTTGTTTACACTGTTATTTTTTAACATGACGTTATGAAAATAAGTCTGAACAATCTTTTCAAGGCTACTGGGACAAGAAAAGACAATAATCTATTCCAGATGTCTTTTCATATCGTTCTAAAGAAAATTGCGCTGCCGCTTGTTTCTGATCTGCTTGTGGCATGAATGTCTCGGATTCTAAAATGAACAAGTAAAGTTATTGGAATTGGGCGAGGTCCCTGAAAACTCCGACTTCATTTGCGAAACCTGTCAATATAACACAAACTTCTGTTCAAGAAGAGCATCCCACCTAGGGATAAGCAATCGGGTGAGCTTATTCATTCAGATGTGGGCGGACTAATGTCAACACATAATCCAGATTTTATATCAGCTGGACAGATGATGCCTCAGGTTTCAGGTATTTATAAATAAGATATTTTCGAAGAATTTCAAGTGTTCCATGCTATGATTAAAAATAAATTCGATCGATCGATCAAGATTCTATGGATAAATAAAGGCAAAGAATATATCAACAACAATATGTCACGCTATCTCACCAAACATGGAATCCAAGTGAAGACAACGGCACCACATACATCGCATACACAGCAGAATGGAAGATTAGAAAGAGACAAGGACTGTCATAGAATCTGTCAGATCCATGTTACATACAAAAAATCTTCCTGCTCGTTTATGGGCAGAAGCAATGAATACTGCTGCATATATTTTGAACCGACTTCTCAAAAACCGAATTTTTCAAAAATCGACAAAAAGCACGACACCGTATGAAATCTGGATGAGTAAAAGACCAAAAAATTCTGGTGTGCATACAAGAATTTTCAGATCCTTCACTCACATCCCTAAAAAACGAAGAGGCAAAGAAATCAAAGATGGGGGATAAGAAATCAAAGAAGCTAATATTCGGTTATAATATTTGGTTATCAACAAGAATCATCAAACTATCGCATGTATGATCCGCATACAGATAAGATAATTGTATCACGTGATGTTAAATTCGATGAATTTCAAGACAAAAAATTACGTTGACTAGTGATAATATTACACTTCCATTAGGCAATGACTTGTTTCAAAATGACTCGTTCAAGGGAATGAGAATCTTCCACTAAAAGACCAATTGGAAAGAGACAGCGATGACGAGATGATTATTATGAAAGCATGGAAAAAGAAATTCAACAAGAAAATAAGACACAGAGTCGCGTTCTAAGAAACAGAGGTGAAATTAAAAAACCTGATAAATATCAAGCTAATTTAATTGAACTGAAAGAATCAAGCACGGGGAAGCGATCTTTGGAACGAAAATGACCAGAAGCTGAAAAGTGGACCAGAGCAATCCAAGAAGAATTAAATGCACATGACAAAAACAAAAATTTGGAAGCCAACATCTTTACTAAAAGACAAATCAACAATAGGCTGCAAATGGGTATTTAAGATCAAAGGAACATCATCAGAGGACAACCTGTGTTTTAAGGCTCGACTATGCGCGAAAGGGTTCATACAGAAACCTGGTGTCGATTATCAGGAAATCTTCTCACAGGTGGTCTGGTATGAATCAGTACGAACCCTCCTAGCAGCAGAACGAGACTTGGAGATAAAACAATTTGACGTGAAGACAACATTTCTGCACGGTGATCTTCACAAGGAAATTTACATGGTTACACCAGAAGGCATCAATGTAGAGAAAAGGTGTGTCATCTCCAAAAATCGTTGTATGATCTCAAACAGGCCTCATGACAAACAGGCCTCGTGAAATTCTAAGTTCAATTTCTTTCTAAGAACTTTTCATTTTGTTCAAAGTAGTGCAGATTCATGCGAATAATAAAAAAATAAAGGATGTTTTTATGATGTTTCTGTTTTTCTAGCCTTATATGTGGATGACAGATTGCTGCTGGTGGAATCGAGGCGTTCGATGGGGTCTTTGATATTCTCAGAGATTTTTTTGAAATTACCGAAGGCAGCCCAGAGTCTTTTGCTGGGATACAGATACAACATTGTACCAATCGTAACAAAAGTACAATTTTTATTCATCAACGACGCTATATCAAGCACATCCTGATTCGTTTTGGCATGATTGATGCAAGATCTGTACACACGCCAGCAAATTTACATTCTATTGCATTACTGATTAGAACACATAATGTCAATGATGTAAAATTCTACATCGCGAAGCGATTGGATCCTTTATTTTTCTTACGCAATTAACACCAATCCAGATTTAGCATTTATTATTATTAACTTTCTTAACAGATTTTTATCCAAGCCTTCAGAAAAACATTAGTGCAGTGCAAAAAAGATTTTTCGCTATTTGCGTGCAATAATGGAACTTGGGATCAAATATCAAAAGAGTCGTGATGCGATAACTCTGACTATTCAGGTGCAGACACGGGAAACAGAAACAAGACGATCCACTGGTTATATTTTTATAATCTCAGGAAGAACTGTGTCGTGGACATCGCAATGCCAAAATAGTTTATTTAAGTTATAATATAATAGTTTATTTAAGTGCGACTGAAGCGGAATATATAGCGGCGAATACAGCTAGTAGAGAGCTAGTGTGGTTGCGATTGTCATGTGATATCGATATGATCAATCATTAGTTTTGTTGATAGCTAAAGTGCAATTTAATTAATTAAGAACCCAGAGTTTCACAAAAGAACGAAACACATCGACATTCAATATCATTTTATACGGAAAAGATTTGCCTGTGAACATTTAATCATAAAATGTGTCAGCACGAATGAGCAATGTGCAGATTTTTTGAAAGCACTATATGCAGAAAAACTAAAAGCCTTGTTAAAAGGATAAGCTTTTCTGTTGAATCAACACACCTCAAAGTTATTTAAAATAGAATTCAAATAGTGGGAGTGTTAAAGTTTTTTTTTGTTTAGAAAAGATATTTTCATGTTCTATTTGATTCATGAATTTATTTATTATATTCTTGTGGATATGACCTAAGGTGATACTGTGCGTTCACAAATACAAGTGGTCAATGTCTGTACTCTATTGCACATTCTTTTCATGGTTTTGCGCGCATCATGTTTTTTTATTATTGATGCATATCTGTCGAAAAATCAGTTAAGTGCGTTTATGTATTTTTTATCTTTGCTATCAGAGATAAAAACTGATTCTGAAGTATCTCGTGTTTCTGTCTCACTTTTCTTTCTTCGTTATTTGACGGATCGTATAAAATTTAGTTTAATCTTAACAATAATATCCAGTGCTGACTCCTAACGTCCATTTATATTTTGCCATTACTTTTTGTATTAATTTAAGGAGTCTAGATTTTGTACATTTCTTTACTTAAATTTACCTTTACATTTATCAAATATCTATTAATTTCTTAAAATAAGTAAGCATTACATATATAATTAAGTTACATCAATAGAATTAGAATAAATCATTTTTCTTTTAAATTAATAACCGTTATTACTTACTGTGCTTAATAAGATACCTATAAAGCAGAACCGAAATACGTTATTGAAATACAGTAGACTGAAGTTCACAGACAAGAGTTTCCTTAAAATAAATGACATGCTAAAACACAACACAGAATATAATGTAGAATATAGAATCATAAAATATAGATCGCGTATTTTCTAAATAAAAAGTCATCAATATTCTATTAAATATTACAATTGAAAAAATAAGTTTTTTCAAATGTGATATTTAATGAAATATTAGTTACTTTATTTAGAAAAATGCGATACACGTTTCATACTTTTAGTGTTCATATACACATAATATATATACAGAATGGCTTCAACTTATGGCCCCACCTATCTTGAGCAGATAGAACGGATTAAACTGAATCGGAAAGTCCTCTACTTTTGTAATGCTCGCAATAGAGATTAATGAAATATTAATGTTTAAAAATAACCTAATATGCGCATTCGACCTACTATTGCAAAGGTATGGCCCATCAAGCGCATGGTGCATGGGCCGCGGGAGAGGAGCGGGGATGGCCTAGCAGGCGCGCCGTCTGTTCAAGCTTAGAGACTCGCCCCTCCTCGCGCGCCAAGCTATCAATGACGGATATTTAGCGCTTCAGAAATAATATCTCGATTGTGAAAATTGGGAAATGATTAAGAACTGTCCAAAAAAACTCGTTCGTTGAACCGTGCATACGAAATGTACATACAGAAAAATGTTACATAAGTACTTGTTTCAAGTAAATAATAAAAATATTTTAAAATTATATTAAGAAAACATTCTTTATAATAATATAATCGTAATAATATAATTATTCAAAAGAAGAAGAAAAAAATTGCGTTCTTTCTTAGCACTAGAATAATATTTTTCTGCATTTTTTTACACTACCGTTCATGAAAGCTCATTTCGAACATCCGCATAAATTTCGAATGATTGTGTAAAAAATTAAGATATAAAACAACAATTGAATTATTTTTGAAATATTTTAGATCACTTGTACTCATCATTAGCAATTGCAAATGTTTTATAAATTATTTTTAATTTTATGTGCTAAAATTGAATTAAAAATAATTTATAAAGTTTTTGCTAGTCTATCCCCTACTTAGAGATAGAGACTGACAACATATATCATATTTGCGTTCTCTAATCGAATTTTTGAAATTTATTAATTATATCAATGTTGTACGAAGTAAACACAATATTTTTTAATACAAAATTAAAATTAATTTATGAAGCTTTTGCAATTGTTAGTATGTATTGCATACAAGTGATTCAAAATATTATATATTTAAAAAATAATATAATTGTTGTTTTATAAAGTCTTAATTTTTTAAATAATCGATAAAATTTATGCGAGTGTCTGAACTTTCATAAGCGATAGTGTACGAATAATAATCGACATAGAGAAAGATTACTTTCATTCAAAGAAATATTTTTATTCTGTTGGAGAAAAAAATTGAGTAATTGCTGTCAAAGAAAAATCTTGACTCGCCAGCCTACGCCTAGAAAAAGATTTCTTCGATTTAAAGAAATGTTGCTTTGCCACGATTAAAGAAAAAATTATCTAACATTTGAATATATAATAATGTTTTTAAATCAAATAAAAAATTTATTTATTATAATTTAAAAAAATTATATTTCAATTAAAGAAATAATGTTGAAATCAAAGAAATTTGTTCTTGAATCGTACAAAAAAATATTTCTTTGAATTGAAGAAACCTTTCTCTGAATGCTTGTGACACAGATTCGCGAATCAAGAAATAATTTCTGATGAATCACTTTTGTGGCTGATAAAGCGCTATTATTTCCACACTACTTTGCAATAGATAGCATGGCATACTTTTTTAAGTGGTATTTATAATACCACTTAAAACCAATAATCTAATCTATTTTTGCATTTTAATGCAAGAATTGTTCGTACTCCCTTCTTCGTTCTCGTATTGGGAGTACAAAGTTCGATCCGTTTTTTTGTGTTCAAAAATGCATTTATTTCAAAACAAAATGAAAGAACAGATTAATTAAAATATTGTCCATCGCTGCCTACTTTTTCTCATCTCTCAGGCAATTTTCGAATTCCATCTCGAAAAAATGACTCGTCTTCGGAGACGATCCAATTTTGGAGCCAATTTTCGATTTCTGCGAAAGAAGTGAACCGGTGATTTGCTGCATCCTTCGGAACAACCAGAAGGAGCAATGTCTGGAATACGGCGGTAAAACATCCCATTTGAGCGTTTCCAAATATTTTTTTACGACTTTAGCGACATGAGATCGAGTGTTGTCATGAAAAAGAATAACTTTATCATGTCTTTGGTCATATTCCGGCCGTTTTTCTCGTAATGCAAACGAATCAATTGTAATCGCCCATAATGGAATAGCCAGGTTTCAGCAGCTCATAGTAAACAAGACCCTTTTGGTCCCACCAGATACAGAGCATGATCTTCGAACCATGAATGTTCGACTGTGGTATTGATGTTGAGGTCGATGGCAACGATTGACCGGGCTTAGCGTAGTATTTTTTCTTCTTGAGGTTGTCGTAGAATATCCACTTTTCATCTCCAATCACAATCCGATGCAAAAAACCTTTTCTCTGTTGTCTTTGAATCAGCTGTTCGCAAGTGAAAAATCGCCTTTCAATGTTTCTCGGTTTCAGTTCATAAGGCACCTAATTTCCTTGTTTTTGGATCATTCCCATGGCTCTCAATACGTACAGAAACGACTTATTGAGTTACCCCCAATGATTCTGCAAGCTTCTCTTGCGTTTGATTCTGATCTTCTTCGAGTAATGCCTCTAATTCTTTATGTTCGAATTTTTTTGACTGTCCAGAGCGAGGCTTGTCTTCAACGCTGAAATCTCCATCCTTGAAACGTCGAAACCATTCCCTACATGATTTAGTTGGAACAATGACACCATAAACTTCGACAAGCATTCGATGGGCTTCAGCCGCACTTTTCTTCCAATTAAAGCAGAAAATCAAAACCTCCCGCAAATGCTGTTTGGTTAAAACAAAATTCAACATTTCAAACACAGTAAAAAGATTTTTGTATGAAACTCAAAGCGATATAAACTGAATATTATTAGCAGATGTTTAATCTCTCTGAAACTGCCAAAATCAACTATGAACCATTCACAACAGCTGGAGCCATCTTTAGGGAAACGGACTGAACTAATTTGTATTCCTAATAAATAGATTTCGACTCTTCGAATAATGTTGCGCGTCACGCGGTGCGCCATTTCTTGCATAATCATATTGAAAGCTTCTTATTCCTATTGAATATACCGTGGCAAAAAACGTGCACACCTAACATGGAGGAGAGAATTTTGGGAGAATTTCGAGATGAACCCCAGCATACGCCGTATGACTCATGCGTTCGGTGTTCCTCGGCGTGTGGTATTCAAATGAAAACGGATTGCATCCGTATCACTATTAGTGAGTACAGCAATTTCTTGCGAGAGATAAAGAGTCGCGCATCTACTTTTGTGAAGGTATTTTTATTATTTTATAAAGTATTCTCGCTCTCTCTCTCTCTCTCTCTCTCTCTCTCTCTCTCTCTCTCTCTCTTTCTCTCTGTGCGCGCGCGCGTTGTGTGTGTGTGTGTGTGTGTGTGTGTGTGAGAGAGAGAGAGAGAGAGAGAGAGAGAGAGAGAAAGAGAAAGAAAGAATTTCTTAAATCATAAATTTCTTATTACTTATTCGGTCCGCTATTATTCCTGCCCACACGTTTATCATCCAATGATATTGAAATCGCATCTTGCCGAACGTGCGGATTTTCAACTGCCCATAATACATAATTCCGGGAGTTGAACACGCAATTCGGTGAAAGTTGCTTCGTCCGTCTACAGGATACGGTTCGAGAAAATGGATATTTCGCTGCGCGAGCAATCCTACGTTACATTCTGCCATTAATATTTCTTAAGAACACACACACACACAACACACACACACACACCAC